GGAGCCTGAAACTCAGGTACATGCCATTGGCGGGAATTGAACCCGAGACCCTTCAGTCTGAGGGCCAACACTCTGACTACTGGGCCAGACCGGCCAGGGCAACAATTTATTTTTAAAGAAAGGACCTAGGGCCCATACAGAGTTTGGGGATAAACTCAAAGGCAGCCCTAATACAGAATTTGGTTTTTCTTTGTTGCCATTCTGTATTCTCTTCCAACAATTTTTATTCTTTCTCATCATTAGTAGCATTTGTGTGTAATGGGAAAAGAGTTAAGTTTAACAATATAATCAATAGGTGCCCTAGCCGGGTTTGCTCAGTGGTTAGAGCATCAGCCCATGGACTGAAGGGTCCTGGGTTTGATTCCGGCTAACGGCTTGATCCCCAGCCCTGGTCAGGGCGTGTGCGGGAGGCCACCAATTGATGGGGTGTCTCTCTCATCAATGTTTCTCTCTGTCTCTCCCCCTCCCTTCCATTCTCAAAAAATCAGTGGGAAAAAAAATCCTCAGGTAAGGATTAGCAAAAAAAAATTAAAAATTATGGTATCACTGGCTTATTCCTATCATTTAGTTTAGTAGTTTCAACTCTAGCTTAAAGAAATATATAGGTAGGTTAGTCCTTTCTATAAGCAACTAATATGGTAGGAGGCACACTGAACTTAATTAAAGGTCTTGATTTTTACTAGCTATAAGGCAATGGCTCACTTATAATGAGAAACAAATTTGTTTTATCTTTGGATTTTTTTAAGCTTATAAAATAGTGGATGTGAAAGTAGTGCTATACAAATGCATTTTTTTCCTTTTAATTATATATATTGTTAATCCTCACCTGAGGATATTTTTCCCATTGATTTTTAGAGAGGGTTAAGGGGGGATGAGGGGGTGAAGAGAGAGAGAGAAACATCAATGTGAGAGAGACACATAGATTGGTTGCCTTCCGCACATGCCCTGACTGGGCCTGGGGATCAAACCTGCAACCCAGGGTACGTGTCCTTTACCGGAAATTGAACCCACAACCCTTGGGTGCTTGGGCCAACGCTCTAACCATTGATCACACTGGCCAGGGTACCTTTTAATTATATTTTTAACCACATCCTAGGTTCAGAGTAAACCAGATCCTGCAAATGATACAGAACAAACATGACAAGAAATATTTAAGTGGCTACTTTATGCCAAACACTCTTGTAGTTGCTGGGGATGCATAGGACTAAATAGGCAGGCAGGTGTCTGTTCTGAAGGATATTGTCAGATCTGTCCTTAAGAAACTTGTGTGGGAAAACTATGTAAATAACTACAGATTAATAAAAATGCATATATTAAATGTTAATTTTCTCTGTTGCCTTATGTATATTTATGTATTTGATCCACACAAAAATTCTACAGTTGTGGCCATAGTTCATCAAATCTACAATGCCTATAAGGCATCATTTTAATGTAAATTATAAAATGTACCCCAATATCAGAGATAGAAAAATGTGAAAAAGGGTGTCAAATTTTGCCTAGTTTAGTACTACCTTCATTTACAGATGAGGAAGCAGGCACAGGGAATGGTGATTTGCTTGAGAATGCAGAATTAGTCAGTGGTAGAGTCAGAGCTTGAATTAGGAAGTTTGGCTCTAAAACCTGTGTTCTTATTCACTGCTTCACAGGCCTTCCATACAGTAGTATGAATAGGCCAGGCCCTATGGGACTATGGATTAATCAAATTGGTGGTATTATGAAAGATTTAGAGGAGGTGATAGATTGTTAAGTTGGATTTGGAACCATGAGTGAAATTTTCCTAAGTAGAGAAAGAGAAATGAAAGTAGTAAAGATTTGGAAGTTCATGTGAATTTTAAGTAGGCATGGTTTGACTTTCCTTCTCAGCTCTCCCAGGGCCTCTTTCCATTACCTCCCAAATTTCAGATTACCCATGTTTTCCTTATCTGCCAAAAATTCTCTATGATTACCTATACCTCCTATACCTAATAACTTATGTTCAGGGCAGCTGGTGTGGTTTTTTAATACCTGTGCAAGACCAAAGCACAAGATGTGTTAGTCAGTTAGTTGATTGCCTCTCTGCTTGAGATGAAACCTTTAAGTATGCATATGGATCTACAGTTTACTCTGTAGCTTTTGCTTTTTTCCATGCCAACATTTATCTGTCTAAAAATAAGATACTTGACTGAATTCGAACCTTTAATTTGTCACAGAATAATTTGTAACTGGTTACTGCAGATAAGTGAAATTCAGTATAACTAAAAATTTGTATGGGTGGGTCCAGTCTTATCTATCAGAATACAATGAAGTAAACATGATGTATCCTGGTTAGTTAACACAAGTGTCATTGAGTCTATCTAACTGCTTTTTATTTTATGTATCTATTATATATATATCTGCCTTGCTTTTAGAGAAAACATAAACTTCAAGTTATTGAAGGAAATTACACTTGCATAATGAAATAATTTCTTTACAAAAGGAAGCACTTACAATAGTAATAATAACTAATAAGTGTTTTCTATATGCTGGACACCATTAAAAGTACTTTCATGTATTTCATTTACTGTCCATAAAACCATAGGAAATCAGGGCCTAGAAATGTGCTGGGGCTAGAATTTGAAACTAGGAAGCTTGCCTCCAGAGCCCATACACTCTTACCTATTATTCTGTATCTCTATAGTGCTTGTAACAGTATTTTTGCAATCTTTTTTGTTAATAGGTTATAGACTAATAGTCCTTTTAAAAAATTGTAGGACACTATTCCTTCTATATGGTGTTGCTAAATATAGAAAGAGGCAGTCCTAGCTGATTTGGCTCAACGGTTAAAGCTTTGGCCCTCAGACTGAAGAGTCTCGGGTTTGATTCCCATCAAGGGCACGTCCCTTGGTTGCAGGCTCAATCCTCAGCCCCACATGGGGTACTTGTGGGAGGCAGCTAATCGATATGTCTCTCTCGCATCAGTGTTTCTCTCCCTCTCCACCCTCTTTCCCTCTCTTTGAAAAGCAATGGAAAAAATATCCTCGGGTGAGGATTAAAAAATAATAAAAAATATAGAAAACAGTTTTAATTGTGTGTTTGTACCACAGTAACATTTTTGGGGGATGGCTTGATTATCCTTTATCACAGCAAATTTCAAACTATTACTAATCCCAGCTTGCAAGTTTTATTTAAAATGGTACCATATTGTGTGTGCCTTTTAAAATTTTAATGACAATCTTATACTCTGGCCTCAAAAGGCTCTGGAAATACTTTAATTATCTGATTCTAATTATCTAATTTGAGGATAAAATAATAATGTTTATAACATCGTTACGCCTTGCTCACCCTCTCCAACCTTTTCTTTAATAACTTAGTTTCTTGTAAAATATTTGAATGTCTTACAGGTCCAGATTTTATTACCCTTTGACTAAAGAGTGGTATTTAATAGTGATGATTTTATTCTATGTATTGAGTGCATCAACAGAATTTATGAATTTTTAATATTCCCTTTCAGACCCTAGTGTGGTTCTTATGAATTAGGTAGATGCTTAATAAACTTAAAACAGTTTAAGTTGCCCGGCCGGGCGTGGCTCAGCGGTTGAGCGCCAACCTAGGATCCAGGCGATCGGGGTTTGATTCCCGGTCAGGGCACATGACCAGGTTGTGGGCTCGATCAGTGACTCTCTCATCATTGATGTTTCTATCTCTCTCCCTACCTCTCCTTTCCTCTCTCTGAAATCAATAAAGATATATTAAAAAAAAAAAAATCAGTTTAAGTTAATCACAGAAATCTGTAGTGAACCATTGATGCCTTTCCAGCAACCCTCACTCTCTGAAACACCTCTCGGAATTAGGAAATAACTAAAAATGGCCTCTAAATGGCAAAAATCCATAGTAAAGCTCATATACTTTACTTTCAAAAGCATGTCAGCCCCTTGACACCTCTGATGTGCATTTTTTTTAGTAGTAAACTAGATGGGTTAGCCAGTTCCCAGCTTGACAGTATTATTGAGGTAATTCAGGGTCATATTATGCTTATGTAAGTAAATCTGTACGGTAATGGTAGTGGAGCAAGAGAAGACAAACACTGAAATCCAGTGAACTACACTTAGAAATTGCCTGAGCCCACTTAATTTTTGCAACAGATTGGCCTGTACACTTGAATTTTTCTTAAGGATAAATTGAACACAGTGGCTCTGTCCTTAAAAAGATTGAATTATGATGATGATCAGAAATTGAGTGTAAAACATTTGGAGGAACATACTATCAAAAGTCATTTGCAGTATTTTTGGTATATAAAGATCATATTTTAAGTTATCTTGGGATATTTGCTTATGTAGAATACTTTTACTTTTGGAAATGTTCATTAAATGAAGAATTTTTGTTTTCCAATTTCATAGACCCTGGTTGAGACAATATTGTCCTTTTAATCTATGCATATGTATATTCTTTGTTTTTGTCTTATCAACTATGAGTTAGTATTTAAGAAAACAGGTTCTAGAGTCAGATCTATTTGAATCTTACTTTATTAGTTTATGTGGCTGTGGACAAAAATAACCTCTCTAAGGTTTAGTTTTCTCATATATTCATAAATAGTTATTGAGCAACTACTGTGCACCATGCACTATTTTAGGAGTGAGGAATACATCAATGAACATGATGGTCAAAAAAATCCTTGTCCTTATGGAACCTTACATACAAATTGGGAGAGACTGACAGTAAATAACGGCATATTAATAGTACCTGTATTAGAGTTTTTCAAGATCATGTGAGGTAATGCATATAAAGTTTTCATTCTAATAGCGTGGAATAAATGTGGGCATGTATTATTTTTAGTGTTTGATTCATGACTTCACATGACTCGTGTTGGCATAAAATTAAATTTATTGAGTATATTAGTCATCTCAAAAAATGATAATTAATACTTTTTTATTGGTGATATTGAATACATTAACTTTCTCTAATGTTGAGGGGTAAAGAGGAATAGAGAGAGAGAGAGAGATAGCAGTTAATCTCATCAATGTATGTACTTTGCTTTCCAACAGCCACCAAAAAAGACAGCTAAAAGAGAAAAACCTAAACAGAAAGCCACTCCTAAAAGTAAAAAATCTATAAAGAATGCTAAGAATGCTAATGTGAAAAAGGCAGATAGCAGCACCACCAAGAAGAATCAAAACAGTTCCAAAAAAGGTATGTTTGAAATTATACATTTTCAGCACCTTTAAAGATATAACATATATGCTGTAACATAGTTTTTAAGTGTTTAGAAAATAGGTAAACTGAGAAGAACATTGGGGGGGGAAGTTGTACACCAGTTTTTTATAGTTTACAATTTTTCAAAATTGACATTTTCAAAGTATGTTTTATAGGTAACTATAGAGTGATGATTTATAATTTTTTAATACCCCTTGAGAATCTGATGACTGCTTATAGAATTTTTCCCACTCTATCTTGAATGCTAATTTACTAGTAAGAAAAAATTTTATTCACATGTAATAAAATCTTACTTTTAGAAAGTGAATCTGAGGATAGTTCAGATGATGAACCTTTAATTAAAAAATTGAAGAAACCTCCTACAGATGAAGAGTTAAAGGAAACAGTAAAGAAATTATTGGCCAGTGCTAACTTGGAGGAAGTTACAATGAAGCAGATTTGCAAAAAGGTAATTGGACAGATCCTTAGATCATTTTGCTTTCATTTGAAAAATTATTTCACCCATCCCTCAGTTTGAAGCCAGATTCTTACATGCATTCGTTCACTCATTGAACACATACTTACTGAATTACTGCATGCCAAGCAGTCTGTTACAGGTGCTAGGATAACCACATTAAAGTAAGTCAAAGCCTCTGCTCTTTGGAGTTATTTCATAAATAACAGTAGAATATATATACAGTGAATAAAGTGCTACATTCCAAACTGCATAGGAAACTATCTTTTCCTGATCTGGGAACTTTATTGATGCATTGTCAGATTATGCTAGTTTTACAAAGCAAAATCTCATGGACCACCACATTTTCAGTGTTACTATGATAAGTGAGTTGTTATAGATTAGGTACAGCTCAGACTTCTATGAAGTTAAAATGATATAGTCTTGAATATGAGTCCATACCCTACCTCAATATTGGGAGATTTTTAAAATCTAGTTTCTTAAGTAAAATGAAATTAAAATTTGAAATGTATAGAAGGTGAAATATTCTATATTTTTTAAAGACATTTATCATTTTTTATTCATTCAGCACTCACTGAGTCTCTACTACATATTACGCCCTGGGATAGATGTTGGAGATAGAGCTGGAAAAGCTGTTACTTCACTTTAGGGGCTTATAGTCCAGTGGAATTGAAAGACAATTGTTTTAGTAATTAGAGTACAGTGTGTGAGGGCTGTGTTGGAAGAGTGCAGAAGGATGCTACAGCACCATCCAACTTTGGGGT